AAAACAATTCACACAGGCAGTTACTGACAAAACCATAAGAAGAACAGCAACGTTTTGGGGGCTGCAACGTGCTCTGTTTCAAACTCTGAAAAATTAAATGTAGCCTGCTAAAATACTAAGAGGGTTAAGAAAAATCCCTCAACACTTCTTTACAACAGGAGTTAAAGCAACCGAGGAAAAAATACTGAACTCTGACACTCCTCGGACACATGAGCAAGTCCAGACTCACAGGTGACTCCTGAACCAAACAAAAGCTTTCAGTTATCCTAAAGTGTTCTGCCACTTTAGCCCAGGCAAACTTTAGCTGTACATCTGTATTCTGAGTACCCTACTATTTCATCTTTTTCCAAATACCCCACTCAAGCAGGACTTCAGCTAAAAACAGAATGTGAACCCACCTGTCAGAGACTTCTTGTTTCAGCTTTGGCATGTCACCCGAAGGCAGGTCAGTGTCCAGGAAACCCAGAAAGTCCCTTTCTGCATTAAAGGACTCTTTGTCCAGATCAGTGTCTGATGAGTTTTGACCAGTGAAGGAAGAATCTACGCTTCTCTGATGCACATCTAACGCATCAGCTTCAGCGGGGCAACCACGAATGCCAGCAGCACTAAAAACATCACCTCCTTCCAATTTTAAGGTACTGTTATGTTTCACATCACGCCGAGGACGACTGTTCAACCCATCATCTCTGAACCCCTTAGCAAAAGGATTGTAATCGATTTTCAGCTGGGTAATCTGGATATTCTGGTAGGCCGTGACTGCGAAGAATTCTGTCTGTGGAAAAGTAAATGTATGGACATCAGGGCCATTGAGCTGAATGACTTCCGTGGCTTTGTCTGCAGGAACCAAGTGAAGTCGTGGCAGATAACGATGCATAGAATGCAAGATTATATGACCCTCCTGGTCGAAGGTATTGTTGGTAAGTTTGAGTTTGTAGAAGGATACTGGCCGGTGCATCCAGTACTGGCCAGTGGAAGGGGATTCTGGATGAATAAACACTCGCCCAAGAACATGTGGTTCTGCCTTCCCACTGGGTTCCCACCAACGGCCATTCCATTTGTATCGGTGATTGTCCACAGGAGACATGTCCATGACTAGGATGTACCTCTGACTGGCATTCAGACCTGTAATCCAGTACCTACAGGACGGGAACATGCGCCTCCCCTGCTTCGACAGAACCATCTCTGTGTTGTGATGGTAGAATTCATTCCACATACTGTTGTTATCTAGGGTGACGGTAATGCCCCCTGAGACACAGTCAGCCGGGAGGCAGGTCTTGACTTTGGATTTCACTGGAGTCGATACGCTGCTGGCGAGAGCACAAGCATCACGGTTTGCTACTAGGATTCCTTGGTCAGCTTTACCATTTCCCTGCTGCTGTTTCAAGATGACAAAAAAAGCAGGTGCTGCACCAGATACAGTCCCACCATCCCGGCTCGCCAAGACAATCTGCTGTTTCTCCATGATGAGCACTCTTACAAGCTCTCAAATCAAACGCAAATTGTACACAGTTCTGATAACCTTCTATGGGTGTTCACCATTCTGGAAAAAAAGGAAAACACAGTTAAAATTATTCAGATACAGCCTAAGAAATAATTAAGTCTCACGAGAAATCCTTTTTGTAACAGTTCTCCACATAAAAACTTAAAAGATAATCAGTAACATAAAATCAAGAACCACTGGGATATATCAAATCAAGGTTGCTTGTGTGTATATAACTGAGGCGTTACGGACATGGGGGACTATGACACCTTTAAACTGCATTTTCATACAATGCTTTGCCACAACATGCCTCGTTGCTTTCCTTGATATTTCAAAGTGCTCTTTGTTCTGATATTGCCTCAACTCTTCAGATCATTTGCTTAACAAACAGCATTTGGAAAAATGTACAAAAGTTTTCCGAAGAGCAAACAGCACATCTCCAACACAAAGGCAGAAGTCATTTGCTCTTGCCATAAAGGGTTCTCAGAGGTCCTAAACGTCTCAAAAATTAAAAGGAGGAAATAAAAGAAAAAAAAAAAAAGTTGAACACATTTTCTCCAGATTTCTTTACTGAAAAAAACTGTGTGATTGCGATTTCTTTGCCTGCCTGCTGCCCAACTCGAAAACTTTTAAATGTCCATAAAAGGCAGAGATAAAGAATATAAGGGGGAGGGGGGGGGAAATTCAAACAGGTAAGTTTTGGGGAAAAAAATAGTTAGATTTATCTGCATATACACAATCCCACTTCTGTGTGTCTACCTCACTATGCATTATGTCAACAATAACAAAAGACCATAAACAACTCCATATTTCAAACAGCCTGTACATTTCTCAATGTGGAAGTTTAAAGTATGCACTTCTTGTAACTCACAAGAATGTCATTCCCACACTCAGGTGTTTGTATTTTGATCATTACATATGGAACACAGCACTGACAAGAAATGACTGATTCTTGTATCAAATGTCTAGTTTCTGGAAACCAGAGACAAGAGTGAATTACCCTCACTAGGAGTTAGCTGCTTGAAAACAATCCTATTTCTTTCCAGACAATTAACTCAAATTCATGAGTTTTAAGTGAAATATGTCAACAAGACATATTTATTTTGTTAGGACTGGGTTGCTGTAGGAGGAAACACTCCTCTGTGCAAAACAGCTGCCACATGCATCTGGAAATGATCTCAGAGCTCAAGAGGCAGGCAAGTTATACTCTATGATAAATGTTCTTGACACCTACAAAACAGGAGACCTACTTCCACCCTTTAAACTTTGCACTTTAGAACTCCATGTAAAAGCTAAATTGGAGGAAAAAACCAAAGCTGTTCTCCACAAGTTTTGAGATCTGTGATCTGTTTTTCACTTTTACTTTCAGGAGGAAACACTTCCCCACAAACACACCTACAACCACCCACCCACCCAGGACTACTAAGAGTCTAGAACATAAAATGAATTACCTATTCAAAATCAGCTTCATACTTTCTATGTTAAGAATGTTGTCCTGCTTTTTCAGAAGAGCACATCCTAAGCCCCAGCAACACTAAAAGCTATCCCTGAAAGAAGCTTTTTCATGTTCATCTATAAAAACACAACAGAAATATTCATCTCTGTTAAAAATCAGATACATGGAGTGGGGAGAAAGAAATCGCATCCTAAGCTATATGTTACTTTCCACCAACTTACCCTCTCTACATACACATTCTGTATGTTTATATGTATATTGAACATACAATATAGGGAGTTCACATCACTGCTGTGCAATATACATCAAATTTGATATTAGCTCATGAACAAAATACACTATCAAAATTATTTCAAATCGCATGTAAGATATGCACAAAGCCTGTAACTTTAAGTTTACTTGAGGTAGGAACTTAGACATGCCAAAAATAAATTCAGAAAAGCTCAATAACCATGCATTCAGCAAAAATTCTATGCATTCAAAGAGCTACTGAGTCACACCTTCAGTTTTCCAACATTTAAAGTTCTTACATTGCACTGTTGTAGTTATTTCTACCATAAGCACTGCTTACAGTATCAAATCAGTCTAAGATGTGCGTGGTTACAACGTGATTATGTGCAATTACAGTAGCCAAAAGATACATTATTCTTGCAACACATCGTGTTAGTGCTGAAATAATTTCACACATTTTATTGCACCTGATCATACACACGAGCCTATTTTATTATAGCCCAAGTTTCTACTCCAGTATTTCAAGTAAAATATGTGTGTGTATTCGCAGAAGCTGAAGTTATCATCAGTTTCAGAGATTTCACTTCTCTACTCATATGCAGACCCTATATTTGAGAAGCACCTAACTAGACAGCAGTGGCCAAAAATACTCCAAGTTGCACTGAGATGTGCTAAAAGCAGGAAGACAGCCAGATGCGGAAGAAATCTGTTTCCAAAAAAAAAAACAAACCCCAAAACCACAAAAGCCAAAACACCCCAACTACAAACAAGAACACGATTTACGTGCCTAACGCTCGCAGGCACGCAGTTCTGCCCGGGTTTCTCGTGCCGAAGGGCACGCACCGTTAGACACGA